GACTCTGCTGTTCTTCGGCTGGTTCTTCCTGTATACGTTGATTGACAGATGTCTCGTCCAGTCAGCGGTGAGTAATCCCAAACCAATGGCGCTGTCTCAAACTATACCTACCTTTTCCGGTTTGTCTGAATTGTCATTGTGTTTTCTGACTTGTTATAATGTTTTCTGAATTATTGTTGTGTTTTCTGAATTGTTATTTTGTTTTTTAGACTTGCATTTGCGTTTGTAATTTGTTCTTTTGTTTTCAGAATTGTGATTTGTTCTGCACTTCTCGGCCACCGTACTAAAGAGTGTAAGTATCTAGGTTCCCATTGTCATGTAAAACCTCTTTTTTTTTAATGAGGTGGAAAAGACCTGTTATATTAGTTATATTTTTATTAGATTATATACTCTATATATTTTTTGTACATAATTATCCAGTAGTCACAATCACTGGAAAAAGTTATGGAAATTAATTCTCGTGACATGTTAATTCAAAAGGTGTGAGAACCGACAAATGAATCTGACTTCTTTTGCAGACTCCGAGGACGAGACAGTCCAATGTTCTAGCTCCGGTTATTGATCTGAAGAGAGGAAGTGCTGTAGATGACAGACAGATCTCTGATACACCTCCACACATTGCTGCAGGGATGAAGGTAAACAGTGTGTATATTACTGTCTGAATATTTGCAATAATCACAATTTTATTTATCTTAGCAGAAAGTTCATTATGCTCTTATAATGTTGGCATCACAGTGTTTGACCTGTAAAAACCACAACCTTTCCTCCCTGGAATATGTTAAAATAAAATGGTAGTGCTGTGTTCGATACATCGATACGACGATGTATCGTCACAGAGATTTAACGATACGAGTATCGATACAGCTGTCCCTGTATCGATACTGTGGCACGTGTGCAGCAGTGGACCACGCTTAATTTTACAACGTTTAAAATTTAGTAGAAAAGTGCGAGGTTTCTAAAAAAGAATGAATAGAGCATCTTTTAATAATCTGGCCGCAGAGGAACACAATGGGGTTGCCTGATATAAAGAGACATAATCCCCAAAACAGAGCTTCACACTTGCGCAATACAGAAATATCTGCTAAACGTGCTACTTATCTTTGTCAACCTGGCAACCCTGTGCTCACACGCGCTCTCTCTCCACTGCAGATAAACGCGCTTGCTTTCTGAAAACACTGGTTAGCTTGCAGTTTAGCAATCTCCACTTCAATATTCTATTCTCAGAAAAGTGTAATACATCAAGTGTTCATTTATATGAGAGAGAGAGGCTGTGTATCTATGAATTACCACCGTTTTGCCGCATTTCTCTATTAACAGTGAAGCTGTGGCTTTAATTCCTTTAGAAACAATGATGTTACCAGCTCCTTGTTGAGAAAGTTAATGCAGCTCTTCAGCGATTAAGCTATTTAGTTGATAAAATTGCGGGGCAGCGCTAAAAAGTTTGTTCCTGAATGTCTGAGTGCGGCCGCAATGTGATCTGTGTGAGTGACTGAGCGTGTGTGTGCGTCAGATACAGTGAAGACAGCGCATTAGTTTAGAACTCCCCTTATTTTTTAGTTATTTTAAATGTAGAGAGTGTGTTAATTTGTGCAATGATAACCTACCAGCAATGTAAATATGATTTTTTAATATATTAGAGTGAGTACATTACAATATAAATTTATTATAACGAGTACATTATTATTTATGGGCTTAAAAACAAGATGCAAACAATCAGAATATTGTACCTGGTGGGGAGTGCCCAGTGTAAACATGAAACATATGCCATAACCTATATTGATTGTACTGTGGTACAGTTATGGAGGCCCTTCATAATGCAGAGGTCAACTGCCTGCTCTGCCAATAGTTAGAAATGGCACTATGGAATGCAGTGTTTAATAAACAGCTGCTTTACTAAACTCTTCTGAGGTGTAATTCAATGCAGTCCTGCATCGTGATATGTATCGTATCGTGGCCTCTGTATCGTGATACGTATCGTATCGTGACTTTGCTGGTTATACACAGCCCTATAAAGTGGTTCATTAAATTGTTCTTAGAGTATTAAGTTTCTTTGACTGTGTGTGCCTGTTAGGACTCGGCATCAGTTGGGTTTTCATCCGGAGAAGTGCTGATTCCTTTGGCTGATGAGTATGACCCCATGTTTCCCAACGACTATGAGAAAGTGGTGAAGAGACACCGAGAAGAACGACAAAGACAGAGAGAACAGGAGCGACAGAAAGAGATTGAGGAGAGAGAGAAGTATGCATCCATGATTTTCAATTAGTTTGTTCAGAAAATGTCGTCAGTATCTGGTATATCTGTTATTGGCTGACTAATGTGGATTTTTTTTGATGACTGATGCCAGTATCTTAGAGAGAAGTATGGCCAATATATATGATATCAGAATATTGTGTTTAACGATAGTAAATAACACAACCATAACAATAACATTTATATTAATTTTACATAATGTTTACAAAAAAGATTACAAATATAATTGCTGAACATTTTAAATGTTTTTTGTACAAAAAAAAGAGGACATAAAATGGAAATTTGCCTCTTCTGATGTGTGTTTTATACAGTGCTTCGCTGTTGTTCTCTCATTCACTATTTATTGTAAACGAATACCTCATAGTTCACAATATTTGAAAGATTAATTAATTTAGACACTTATAGACAGTACTTTTAATTTGCACACAATTTTCAGTGATGCACACATTAATGTTTCCAAAACAGACATATTAATGTATGCTTTTTTTTTTTTTTTATGTTTTTGAAAGAAGTCTCTTATGCTCACCAAGGCTGTATTAGTTGGATCAAAATACAGTAAAAACAGTAATATTGTGATATGATGTTACAAATATCTTTTGAACTTTCTGGTCATCAAAGAATCCTGGACAAAAATAAAACTGTATAACAGTTTCCACATAGATATTAAGCAGCAAAAACTGTTTTTCTTCATTGATAATAATAAGAAAATGTGTTAATAATTGAGCACTAATAATAATTGATAACAATTTAGCACCTGATCAGCATATTAGAATGATTTCTGAAGAATCATTGATTGACAATGAAAATGAAAATTCAGCTTTGCCATCACAGGAATAAATTAAATTTTTAACATAGAAAATGGTTGTTTTAAATTCTAATAATATTTCACAATATTACTGTTTTTACTGTATTTTTGATCAAATAAATGAAGCCTCTGTGTGCTAAAGAGACTTGGTTAAAAAAAAGAAGAAAACAAATCTTCAAACTTATGACAGGTAGTATATGCGTGATCTGCATGGATTGGTGTTGCTTTGTTGAATTGTTTTGTTAAACTGTGTGTTAGGAAGCGTAAAGAGAGGCATGAAACAGGGGGAGCACCAAGTGGATTTTCCCGTTTCCCAACAGAAGGCGAATCAGATGAGGAGGAGGAGTATGAGAGAGAAAAGAAGAGGAGTGAGCGCCCTTTGAAACATTTCTTTATTTCTCCTTTGTGTCTTTCTATCTCACTTCCCTATATTATGTCAGTATATAATGACACTTGGGATTGAATCCAAGATGTTAATACCAGGTGTAAATAGGGCAATTGATTTGATCATCAGTCTTTTTATAAGATATTATTTATATTTCACACAGGTGTAGTTGGAGCTGCCATCGCCCCTCCGACATCACTAGTGGAGCGAGACTGTAAGTAAATCTCACTGACCTTTACAAATCATCCGTTTACCGTGTTCCCAAATCTGAAATCATTATATGCTGTTGATTTTGTCTTAAATCTAGTAGTTGCATATGTGAGTAAATACCTTAAAACGGTGTGTTTGTTGTCATGACAGCAACATATTCATATGATGAAGATGGTCGGCAGAGGTCGAAGGCAGCAATCCCTCCTCCCATTTTTGATGACTCTGATAGACCACGATCTCCCCCGGGACCAACTAATTCATTCCTGGCCAATATGGGGTAAGAGAGCTGTTCCAATAGATAAACCTGCACTCATAAATTAAGTCTTTATTGTTTATAGATACAGAATGTTGTTATTGGCTGAATAGTGTTAATTGGGTTTTGGTTGCATCTTTAAAGGGGTCATATGATGCGATTTCAAGTTTTCCTTTCTCTTTGGAGTGATTGTGCATAGATAAGATCCCTGAAGTTGCAAAGACTAAAGTCTCAAAACCAAAAAAGATATTCTTTACCAAAGTTAAGACTCTGCCACGCCCCCCTAAAACGACTTGTTCTAACACGCCCCCACATATCTACCTCACTATGTGGAAATATTTGCATAAAGCGGCCCAAATGTGCGCGCAAAGAAAGAAGGCGTGGTTTCAGTAACCGCAGTTAGTGTTGAAGCAGCCATTGCAAACACATACCAGCTTCATCACTGTGTCTGTCACGCGACTCTGTTCCCCTTTCGGGCTCTGTCTTTACATTTATTTTGAAAGCTGAAGCTCGCAATTATGGTAAGGGGTGTTACATTTCCGACAAGTGCTTTCGGTGTTCGGCCAATCACAATGCACTTGGTCAGCTGGCCAATCAGAGCAGACTGCTTGTCGGAAGGAGGGACTTTGTAGAAAACGACGTGTTTAAGAGAGGTGGGGCATAGAGATTTTAGATTTAATTGTTTAAAACATTTAGAACAGAACTTTTTTTTTTTGCACAGTGAATTTAGAATCTCAAAACAATTTTATTGGTTTTTGATAAAAATAAAAAAAAACATGTAATATTATTTATTCTAAATGAAGGTTTATGTTTAAACAAGAAATGTAGATTTCCAAATAATTTATTTGAAAGAATTTCGGGTCACACTTTAGTTTGGGGACCAGTTCTTACTATTAACTGTGACTTTTGCCTCAAGTCCTAATTTGTTGCTTATTAATAGTTAGTAAGGTAGTTGTTAAGTTTAAAATATCTAAAGTATGGTCATGCAGAATAATGTGCTTTATAAGTACTAATAAACAGCCAATATGCTAGTGATATGCATGCTAATAAGGAACTAGTTAATAGTGAGAATTGGTTGGTAAAGTGTTACCAAATTTCAATTTAATAAGGAATATATGGATTTACCCAAATATTTTTAATTTAACTAAAGGATTTAGATTCAACCAGAAAATTTTGTTTTAACACAATAATTCTTAATATAAATATTTACATTTACATTTAGTCATTTAGCAGACACTTTTATCCAAAGTGACTTACAAATGAGGACAATGGAAGCAATCAAAACTAACAAAAGAGCAACAATATATAAGTGCAAATGACAAGTCTCGGTTAGCCTAACGCAGTGCACGTAGCAAGGTGTATATATATATATATACACACACATACACAAAGAAAAACAAGTAAATAGAATAGAAAAAATAGAAAGCTAGTGTTTGTTTGTTTTTTGTTTTTTAAATAAAAAAATAAATAAAGATAAATATAGATAAAGTAGAATCAAAATAGAATAGAAAGTGTTAGAGTTAGAGGGTCAAATAAAGCTGGAAAGCTGG